TATCTATCTATCTATCTATCTATCTATCTATCTATCTATCTATCTATTAATCTAATCTAATCTAATCTAAATTATTTTATTCTTCCACTTTTCATACCAAAATACTGTAGTATGAGATAGGCTACTCGAGAGTGGCTGGGTTGCTATTTTATACTAAGTAATAGCTTATGGCCCTTACATGTCATGCGATGCAACTGACTTAGTTTCCACATGGTGCACAATCATGCATTTTTAAGTCATGTTTATTAGGCATGGTGCAGTGGCTGGATTGACAGTGCACACCAATCTAAAACTGAGCAAAGTTATTTATTGCATAGTTCATTTTGTGAAATGACCTAATGTAGAAAACTATGAATGTGTATTTGTGGGAATGAGGGATATTCTTAAATATACCCAAGGGAAGTCATGTATGCATATGTCTGGGTGTTTAAAACTGAATGGGCACTTGAGTGTGTGTGTGTGGGGGGGAGGGGAATTTGCTCTATGTCTGTAAAATGAGATTAGTTGTCTACTTGTGTGAGAAGCTTGTTTGTGGGTGTGTGCATGCATTTAGTAGGGCAACTTCCAAAATCCAGATGTAGTAACAGATGCAACCTTCTTTGGAAAAGCTTGCTTATTCTGATTCTAGTAAGCAGAGATGTTCAAGTTGCTCCTTTTTTTTTTGAGAAATGGAAATTAGAAACCCTTGCCAATCTATTTCAGATCATCGATATCTCAATCTATTGGCATCTACACAACCTTTGTTAAATTGGCATTCCCCCTTTTGAAATCCTTGTTTATATTACACCATTTACCAAAATTCAGAAAAAGTGAAAATTCAGTTTAATATCAACAGGATTGTTTGAGTTGAATTTTATGGCTGGGTGATGCTTCTAGGTGGAGAATTATGAGGTTGCTAATCATTGCTTTCTTTTTGACTTTCCAGTTACTTTATTTATTCATTTTTGACCATGAAGTTTCTATCATACTATCATTTCCTATAATTTAGAATTATGTGAGCAAAACTGGAAGCGATTCTTCCTACTAAGAATACCCATGGATACTTTTATTTCCTTGTGTCTTGATTAATGCCCTTTCCTCCCAGCCTTGATTTGACACAAAAGTATATGGACATAAACTGTACCCCAAAGCTTCCTTCTGCCATGCCTTAGCATTGAGACCAAGCAGTTTTGCTCCCCAGAAAAGATTTCTATCATAGTTTTGTGGTAAAAATTGGTGGGTATCCCTGCTATTCTTTCCCATCCTACCTAGTGTCACCTCTTGGCAGGAAAACCAAACCCCAATATCACTTCTGACTGTGATGGGGTCAGAGATTCAAGCTTTAATTTTTATCATTTATTTAGCCTTAATTTGTGCATGCTTCTACATGATAAGACTGTTGATCTTCCAGGAAAAGTGGAAGATCAATAAACCTATATCAAATAACTCTCAGCTGCAAAGTCTGCTGGAGAGATTGAAGGACCTGATTTGAAATGCAAAGTAAAGAAAAGCGAAGCAGAATGTTTGCGTCTCTGGATCTTTTTTTCTTGAAGCAAGTTTCCTCCCCAAATTGTCTTGGGTTAAGCAAAAAGCTGCTTCTCTCCCCTATCCCCATGTATGTCCAACTATGCATTTTCCCTACTGTAGAGCTCCCCGCCCCAGTATTCAAGCTGTTGTACAACATCTGTTGTAAATACAGGTAGTCCTCAACTTAAAACGGCTTGTTTAAGGATTGTTCAAAGTTACAACAGCACTGAAAAAAGTGACTTTATGTGATGACCCGGGCATGGCACAAAGGCAACACAGTCAGATAATCAATAAGAGTCCCTTTATTATCTCCAACTTTGCCCCCAATGTCCAGGTTACCTTTGGCTGGAGAAAAACTCTCCCAGGAACAGCCTTTAACTAGAGAAAATCCAGTCCAAAACAAGGTACATACAGACTGTAACTAAAAATCCAAACAAGCAAAGCTGCAGTAATTAACTTGACAGGGCAGGAGAAGGACTTTCAGACTTGAAAGCACGGCAACACTCACACAGTTGGGAAGACGCCAGGAACACACATAAGCCATGACGATACCAGATAAATTCATGATTTGCTCCCAACGACTTGCTGCGCGCAGCTTCCCTTTTGAAACACTGTGTTCCCAGCTGCAGCTAATGAAGGGAATCAGGGCCCTTTCCTCCCCTGTAAGCCATGCAACTTACGTTGCTCCCTTCTCAGTTTCTCCCTGCGTGCCCTAGGATGAAGAGGGGGTGGGCCTGGGTCTTCCTCTGAATTCCCAATCCCTTGCTCTACCTCTCCCCTGCTCTGCCCAGCCGGACTGTGCTCTTCCCCAGTTTCTTCCACAGCCAACAGAACCACACTCCCACTGCCTGTCAGCTGTTCAGCTTCTCCCTCTGAATCAGATTCCGACAGGGGCATGACACTTTATGACCATTTTCACACTTACGACCATTGCAGCATCCCCTTGGTCATGTGATCAAAATTCAGAAGCTTGGCAACTGGCCTGCATTTATGACCGTTGCAGCGTCTCAGGGTCACATGATCACCTTTTGCAATCTTTCTGCAAGCAAAGTTAACAGATGCACTTAAGAACCATGTTACTAATTTAACAACTGCAATGATTCACTTAACAATTGTGGCAAGAAAGATCATAAAATGGTCATAAAAATGTCAAATGTCTCGCTTAGCAACAAACATTTTGGATATAATTATGGTCGTAAATTGAGGACTTACCTGTAGAAGGATTTTTGGCTAATAAATTTATTGGTCTCTTAGGAGTTCCAGTATTCCAAAGTTTGATCCAAGAGTCTGGTCTCTTATAGTTAAAGCCAAAATCAAAATCATGGTGAGATGTGAGGGGCAAATGACATGGGTTTTGTAATTTGTTAACTAACAGTTATTTTGTATTTTAATCTGATTGATATTCTCTGATGTTCAGATTTATTAGCTTTTAACATTCCTAAACTGATAAACAAGCTGCAGCCAAGCTCTATATAAGAAAAGTTTGTTAGTACAAATTGAGGTCTGGTTTATCTCTTTTGTGAACTCCAAACAACCTTTCTCCTTACAATTTATGCCCCTTCAGACCTCATTTTAATAAACATGTATGTTGTTATCCTGTCCAATCAACTTTCTTCTTTCAGATTTCTTTGTTAGGTTAACTATTATAGAGGATGTAAGCTAAAGTTCGTGGTTCCCTCTTTGAATGAGAGGAATCCCTTTTGTCTAAATATTCTGATAAATTGTAATAAAATGATCTTCCTGTCTCGGTTTGTCTCATTGGAAAATATGCACGCCGAGGCATGGCCTGAAAAAGCCACATTTGGCCTCCAGATGGGTGGCATACAAATTAATTTATTAATTGAGAAAGTGTCATGGGCATTTGGTCCCAATGACTGGATGCGGAGGGGTATATTGCAGAATATTATTTCTGGCTGCACTGTCTCCAAAGTTCTCTTTTAAGTTACCAGCTTGGAAAAGTTTATATTGGGAGAGGAAGGAAAGCAACACTTCCAAAGTGGAACAGCTAAAGGTAATTCTATGCTTTCTCAGCAGCAAAGCAAGGTTTCACTTATTTTTATTTATTTATGTATTTCTATGTAGAAACGTGCTGTGTAATTTGTGAATAAGAATAAGGAAAAAGCAGCCCACACATTGATACCAGTTGGATGAAACCAATCACTTGTCCTCAGTGAATATTAATTGCAAAATTAATTGCAACTAAATATATTGATTTACTACAGCTATTGGAAATCTGAGTTATCCTCTGCCCTTGTAGCTCTCCAATTGCCTAGAGGAACATAATTTAGTTTATCAAACAAATTGAAATGGGATAGTTATGTGCACCGAATATGCCACTTTTAATTCTATATTTTAATAATGGATCAGTTAGGAAGCTGAAATTATTTTCAGTAACACATCTGTTTCTCAATCCAGTGAGCCACAGCCTGTTATTCCAGATGCAGACTCCATATTGTAAAATCATTTACTTGCATAACTGACTGCTTGCTGATTAGTTAATGTTTCCAGTACTTAAATGAGGGATTTTGTTCTGCACACTCTTAATTAATTTTAATAAAATAGTGGGATCTAATAACATATGGACGGAATAGTATATATAGACTTATACGAAATAACCACCAGTACTTGGTTTTCTTCCCTAAGATGGGCAGAATTACAGATGTTGAATCTCTTTCCCTCTTTTCCCCTTGTTCTTTACTACGCGTCTTCCCTCCTTATCTCAATTATTAATGCTGGAATATTTAAAAGTTATCTCCTGGCTGTCTTACAGCCCAATAAAGCTGTCCAGTATCTGAATTTCCTTACCTAACATAGCCCATCTTCCTAGATTTTCTACATTTTCACAAATGCTCCAGAATTTTCCTCCTTGTCCTAGGGTTAGCCTCTCTGGATATGATAGATCCCACTCTACTCAGTTCCATTCCATTCCATTCCATCTATCCAATTTTGAAAAATACCATCTCTCTTGAAGTGGGAGGTTAGCCAGGTGAGGTCCTCTTCAGTAGCATGTCCTATACATCTGAGATACCCCCACCCCTTTTTTTCCCCCTGGCTCTTTTTATATTTTTTTACAAGTACATTCTACAATTTCTCCCCTTTTCTGGCTGTATGCTCTTGATCTTGTGCTGAGTCACTTGGCTTCCTTATATCTATGACCTTGGCAGAGACCCAAGCACTTTCTTCCTGCCAGGCACATCATCCTGTCAAAAAGATTATTTAAATGTATAGCTAGAAA